GCATCTGTTAGGTACCCTTCTTAACTACTTACTGAGCCCACAGTTCCACAGGTCAGCAATTTGAGCTGGGCACAGAGAATGTTCTCCTGACTTCCACTGCATTGATGTACACTTCTGCGGTCAGCTGTTAGGTCAGCTGGGGGGTGGCCAGTCGTGGGGAGGGGAATGCATTGGCTAGGACCACTTTGCCTCTCATCTTCCAACTGAATAACAAGCTAATAGATGTGGAAATTGCAGGATCTCAAGAGAACAGGAGGGCAGGCCCCCAATGTGTAAGCATTTTTTTAAATCCCCCCTTGCATAAGATTTGATGTTGTCATATTAGCCAAATCAAGCCATGTGTGGTCATGCCAAGAATTTGAGTATAGGGGGAATGACGTAAGGTTGTAGTTGTAGAGAACTTTGAATAGAGGACAATTAGTCTAATGAAGTACCACAAATTCCAAAGCAGTAATTCATTATTTTGAGAAGATACAGGAAATTATACATATGAGTTTTACCCAATATAAATTACTAAGTAATTAAAATTCAATTAGAATGAACTATTTTCCCCCCAGATCAGTTTTTCCACTTAGCATTTCTGTTTCTGTGAAATCACCCACTTCTCCACCACCTTACCTTGGTAATTGAAACATGCCTACTACTGCTCCATCCAAACTACTTTCCCAGCTAGGCTAGTCACTCCACAACTTTCCCTTGTAGCCTACTTATTTATGGGTGGTTCATGGCATTTCCTTATCTAAGAAATGCTTTCTTTGACCCTGCCACCTGGCATCATGTAACCTAACTCACACTATTCAAGTACTAGTTAATATAAAAAGAAAGTTAGGGACCAAACATTTGTCTGAGCTCCCACCATGTGCTGTGACCTTTGATGTGGGTAGCCACAGATATAATGTCCCATTTGTATTGTTACTAATGTATTTCTGAAGAATGTATCTTCTGGATGAGACAGTAAAAGTTCTGTGTAAACGTCATTTTTTTTATACTTCTTTGCCTTTTCCATAGAATTAAGCAAGGCTGAAGAGACTTAGGAAATATTCAATGAATACATATTTATTTCATTTTTTCACTGATTTTGGTAGAAGATTATATACAATTGCTTTATAGGTTTGTAATATATAAATTGTAAGGAAATTAAAATTAAATTGAGATTTTTAAAGTCACCAGCTACTTTATGCCCATAAATCATATAGTCTATTTTTTAATAATCTAAATACTTTTATATAAAATGATTCTAGGATGAACTGTATCTTTTAGCTAATCTTACCAGGGCAAATTAAGCTTATTTCTTATATTAAACATATACGATTATAAATTAATATAACTGCTTTTAAAATTTTCTTAATTTAGATTTTTCTCTGAATAAAACATGCCTCCCACACCCAGTTACTATTTAAAATGAATGAAAGCACCTGTTTAAAGTCTTCTGACTAAGAATTTAAAACTAATTAGCACATGGAATGGTTATGCTTTTATGTATTCTTTTATTCTCACTGCCGACTGCTTGAGTAATGAGGTCTTTGCTTGCATCTAATATCTAAAATATATTTCCTGTGTCGATTGACTTATGAATTCCCCAAATACAATTATCTGTAGATACTTACTAAAATTTTGAAGAAAGAAAAATATCTCATACCAAATAACTGACCTTGAAAACAGGCATATAAATGAACTCTACTTATAGAAACGATGAATTAGAATTGACTTAGTTAGCTGCAGTCTTATCTGAGTTTTGAGGCAGCTTATAAAAACAGAAGATGAGACCAGAGAGTAATGTAGATAATTTAAAGAATCATGGAAATAGATTTTTTTAAAAAGGAAATAATAGGGCTGGATGAGATGAGTACATAGCCTTTCTATTTTTGTTAGAATGGGTCAAAAATTTAATTCTCATTTTCAAGCTCCAGCAAGCAGTTTGTACAAAATCAATAGTAAGGTTCACAGAGTACATGACACTAAGGAGGATCTATTTCCTAAATCCCAAAGAACAGAATATTGGTTGATATAGTGGCCACCATCATATATAATAGCATGATAATTTTCTCTGTTTTGAGCAATCCAAAACTAAGGACAAAGCTGAAGCATGGTTGCATAAAAGCCCATGAAATTCAAAATATTATAGTTCACGTGGGCAGTTCTGTGACTTTGTCTTGTTTCAAAGAAGAAAAATTAGAATATCTAAAGAAAATGATGAACTGTTTATTTTTAGATAGTACTCCATTAAAGATTACTATTCTACATTATACTGATGGTTAAAAAGCAAATTTTAAGGTTTTATTTTCTAGTAAGAATTGGGAGAATGGAAAGACACTCTGAGTTTTGAATAATAGAGAAAAATTCATTAATTTCCTAACTGTTAACATTAATTGATATTCATATTTATCATTAAAAACCGGATGTTAGTATTGGGATAATTAGATCTTTGAAAGCTAGAAAGTACCAGAAATTTTCAATGACCAAGAAATGGGATTAACCAAACAGATTAACCTGCCTCAAAATAACACATAAAGAAGAAAAAAGTGTGTGATGAGGTTTTAAAATATCACAGGATGCCACATGGATAAAGTATCACTGAAAAATCTTATTAGTATTTTATGATGAATAGTCAGCCAACCTCAAATTGGTTTAGTTTGAATGTGAAGAAAAATACATATTGTTATTCAATCAGAATTAGAAAAAACTAAGCTGTAACATAGATTTTTCATCTTTGAGGAAAAGCTTTAGAGTTGGCAATTTCAGATTTGCAACTTACATTATCCAATACTGGAAAGGAAAACTTATTATAAACAAGGAATTTAAACTGCAATACTTAGTCTCTTCCCCCAGGAGGTTGGCCACTCTGCTATAGTGCCACCATGTCACAAACCTGGCTTAAACACCCTCCAGTTACTGGTCACCATATATTCAGTTATTTTTCATTTATGAGTACACAGATGAGTGTGTCACGGATACTATTAAATAATAGCCATAATAATGAACATCTTAGTCTGTCCTTGTCGTTCATATAAACAAATCTAGCAGGTTACTTGCGAATATATCTAGATCTTGTTTGTTAGGGTTTTATACATCCCTTTAAGTCAATTTCTATCATTTCTATTTTATCAGAAAATCATTTTTGCATCCATATTTTTAAATATATTAGCATATAGTTATAAATTGATCCTTTTATAATTATTCTGATTAAATTCTTATAATATATTCCCTTTCCCACTCCAGATTTTGTGATTGATAAACTTTGTCCCATTTTCCACTATATTACCAAGTCTACAAATAGTTTACATATTATTTTTATTTTTACGTAAAGAAACAACGTTAAGATTTATCAGTTTTGGGCTTTTTAGAGTCTACTTTTATTTTTCTTAAAGTATCTTAACTACAGCATCAGTTTTTGCAAACATTTTATAATTATTCCCCAAAGGTTGCTACTGTGTGCTCCTTAGCCCCAAGCTCTCCGTCTGCCCTTGTTCCTTATCACTCTCTGCTTCGCTTGTTAAAGCCTGAACGTGTTGGGCTTCTTGCTTTCTTAACACAACACACCAATTCTTGCCTCAGAGGCTTTACAGTCTTCTCTATCAAAGTATGTTGGGGGTTTTTGCCACTTCCTACTCATATTCAGGCTTCGTTTCAAATGCTTCCCCCTTGGAAAGCCTTCCCTGACCACTTTAGCTGAGGGGTCAACTGCCCACTCCACCCAGGCACATTCCAGTGGCTTTGTTCTATTTTATTTCCTTCATAATAGATAGCACCATTTGATATTACATTGTAATTTGCTGGTTTGCAAGTTTACCACCAGTCTCCCTGATCTAATATTTAAGTTATATTTGAAGGAATATACATGTACTTATTTACAACTTTTTCCCAGCACCCAAAACAATGGCTAATGCTAACAAATGGATTAATTAATTTCTTCCTAGTACTAATACTTGTTTATCAAGTCACATTTTAATTTCCAAAATGATTTGAAATTTTACTCATTAATTTTATTATCTTAATAATACAATTATTATCTTTTATTTTTAAAAATATCTTTATTAGAAATGTAATAGATATTAATATAATTATTAAGAATAGACTTGGCATTTCTTCTGGTATTTAAAGTGAGCTTACTTGCAATCATTGATTCCATACTTATTTATGGCACATCTACGATATGTATGAGACATAGCACTGGAAGGAAAAAACTGTTTTCTGTTCCTTTGACAAGGTAGCTCTTTAGTATGTCATTACCATATTACAAAAGTAGAGTAGCCTCGGGCCCTCTCACTAACTAAAGGATGCTCAGTAGGTTCTAAATTGTAATTCAGAGGCCAGATGATATAGGTTCTATTGACACATGCCCTTGTCAAACAGGCTGAGAGAAGGGGGCAGAATCTGGGAGCTAGGGGCACCCCAACACAGGAGATGAGGCAGGGAAAGTGCTTCTGTGCGCTCACAGTCCGTCCTAACAAACAGCCCCCAGATTAGAGGTTTGTGTTGTGCTCCTTAAAACTTCCATCACTTTCCAAACTTCTTCACCAAATTTTCTTTTCTTTTTTTGCAGTTTTGACTGGGGCTGGGCTTGAACCTGCCACCCCTGGTATATGGGGCCAGTGCCATACTCCTTGAGCCACAGGTGCCGCCACCAAATTTTCTTAAAAGAAAAAAAACCCAGGACTTGACATACTGTTACCAAGTATAACTAACACATCTACCAGAACTGTCCCTCCAGTTGGAGTTCTGAGGTAGAATCGATTACTCCTCACTGAGGTGTATTTTCCCCCTAGTTTGGTTAAAACTATTGAATTCTGCTCTATTAAAGGTTTTTTGGAGAACTTCTTCTATGTCACCACCCAGTGCTTAATCCAATTATCTTTAATCAAAATTAAGTTAGTGTTAAATTAAAATATATATATGTGTGTGTGTGTATGTATGTATTTCCACTATGAACTGCTAAGGAACATGCCAGGCACATTTCCTAATGGTAGAAGACTAATTTCTCACCCAGTGTTTTATCCTACCTGAGCTATATGAGTTGCATTTTGGATTCGTGCATCTTTCTCATTATCTTTTATTTTCTGCAGTGTCTGCCACGTTATGTTTGTAAATCCATCCTGTTCTTCATCTCTCTGAAGTTCCCACATTTTCACCAGGTTATACACTAGGCCATAGTATCCAGTCCAGATCACTTGATCACCTGTTTAAAGAAAAATAAGTGCTCTTTGGAAATATGTCATTTTATTCACCCTGCTAGAGTATGATTATATGAGAAAGAAAAAGTTAAAACACTCCTTCTTCTAAAACTCATGTTCTAATTGGCAATTTATATACATTATCAAGTTCTACTTTGAACAATTGTATTTTCCTTACAAAAAATAGAAAGAGCTTTCTACTTAAATCTTTGTATTAACTATTTCTTTCATAGTTATCATGTATTGTTTTGCACTAAGAGTCAGGAAAAGGGAATTATGATTTAGGTAAAGGTGGGAGAAATAAATCTGGGGAATGAAATAATACAGCCCTCAAATGGGAAAAGTGAACTTAAGTTAATCAATGAGCAACATAACAGTATCAGGTACATGTAAAACAGATACGAAGAATTAGAAAAAAAAAAAAAAAAGAGGTTCCAAAAGGGGGAGGGAAGAGTGGTAAAGCCCATTAAGTCCCATCATGTTGAACTTCTCTTCAAATCCTGTTCATTGCCCGTGGAAAACAGGAAATAATCCCCTTCTTGATCAAGATATAAGCACAATCTAAAAAGTCACATCCACAGCTTTCCCCAATTAAGTCACATTTATATAATGTAGGCTTACAATAATTACTATTATTATAATTAGCATATGTGGGAGTGCTAGCTATGTTCCCTAATCCTAGGCCTCACTATAATCTTTCTATGTACTGTATCTTATTACATTCAGACTAACAGAAGAGAACATATGAACCAGAACTTGTGCAAGTCTCCCTGGCATCAGACAGCTGTTGAGGGAGTGACAGACCAGGTAAAGGCTGGTCTCACCTTGTTCCCAGCATAACACCCTCTCCAATTTAAGCAACACTATTTCTTTCCAATCACCACTTTTCATTCCTTTCATAGGAAAGAAACAAGCTGTATGATAGAAAGAGTGTGCAGAAGAGAAAGTATGTATATGTTTTAGAAGTGAGAAGAGGAAGGCTTAAATCCAACTTCCAATCTTAAGGTACCATTATCATTGACCCTTTCTACTGTTTGCACTTTAGAAGAGCAAGCAGAAGCTGCAAATATGAAGCTATAGTCAAGTATCCAATTCTTTTAGAAATTTCATGGTCCCCTCACAGCAACTTTACTAGCTAACATTGAGGTACTTCAAAATTTGAAAATATATATAAATAAAAGACAAGTCTTTTAAAATTAATGGTAATTAATATTTTAGCACTACAAATCTGGAATATAATCAAGAATCACATTTGACCTTTCATTTTTTTTTTCATTTTTATCTGTTTTCTTTGTACGTAGTCCTGCCCAAGGTGGGAGAAAGATAACCTTCGGTTTCAGGTAATTGGCACGTCAGGGACCTAGAATGATTTGTTAGAGGGCAACAGTTCCATAAGATGATGAGGACTGTTGATGCAATTGGACCATAAAAGCAAGAAATTACAGTAGAGAAAGGACTTGAAAAGGTGAGACATCATTAGACTTTGTCCAGTAGGAAACTTTGGGAAAAGTGCAAGGGAAGACATTGGGGGACTATTTCAGATGGGAGAATATCTCCAGGAAGATTATCTCTGAGGATAAACTGCACTAGCTTCCTAGTTCTTTCATCTCTCTTTCTTATGACATACTGCCCCACCATTACTAACTCATACTGTGCAGAGTGATCTTCCTAAATCTCATTCGGTTGCTTCTTTACTCACCACTTAGCAAAGGATTGTCATTTGACCCTATGTAAATTCTAAATCACAGCGATTTGTCTTGGTAGACAATTACAGTTCTGTCTTTCTAATATGACATCTTTTGGGAACACACTCATCACCACTTACTTGTTCCCATCCTTGTTATATTATAAACAGATAAAATTACTTGAAGTTATAGAATATGCCCTTCATTCAATCTAGGCTTTATAAAACTTTTGCCTTTTCATAACCAGAAGTCCTGCTGTCCCAGAATGTGTCCAAACTGCACTTGGCTCCTAGACATTCCATGTCCTCAGTGTCATCCCTTCTCTTCTCTCTTCATATAGCTATCTCACCCCTGGTCCAACTATCCTAATTTGCTAGGGACTGTCCCTGTATTGTCCTTTCTATTAAGAAGCCTGTTCTGAACTGCCATGGCTAGGTCAGTATCCTTGTCATCACCACACTGCATGAAATTTTCAGAAATTTCATGTTCCCCTCATAGCAACTTTACTAGCTAACTTAAGGTACTTCAAATCACAGTGATTTGTCTTAGTAAACAATTATAGCTCTGTCTTTCTAATAAGACATCTTTTTGAAACACACTAATCACCTATTTGTTCCCATCCTTGTGTCATATTACAATTGCATACTTCACCTATAGATTGATTCTAAACTACTGGAGAATAGAGAACATATTTTATTCACTCTTACCTCTTTACATAAAATAAATCGGTTTATTGAATGAGGGGAGTAGGAAGGGCAAATAATTGTGTCCATTTGCTCGAGACTAAGGATTTCTTGGAACACAACTATCAAAGACAAAAGTGGGGAAGTTTTAAGCAAACCAGGTGAGTTGGACCAACAGAAGGACTCCCAGGAGAAAGGTAGCTATACAAAGAGAGAAGAGAAGGAATGATAGTGAGGATCTCAAATTGAAAAGGGGTGAAGAGTTCATATTGAAAATGGATCAGGTAAAATAGCTAGAGATAAATGGGGTCAGATTAAATGATGGATGCTTCAGCCAAGGATAATGTTATGCCTATTCGGTGCAATGTCATGTCTATTCAAGCAACAAACTATGAAACCAATATGGGAGTTTAATGAGGCAAGCTAGGTCTTCACAGTGATGGAAAGCAGGAGATTGGAAAAGAAGCCACAAACCTAAGATACTGTGGCGAGGATCTAATAAGTCTTCCTAGTTATGGGGGAAGAACAGAAAATAAAGGAGAAAGGAGAAGTACATTTTTAAGCTCATGAAAGCGGAACAATAATAAAATCCACTTGCAGAAATGAGAAGACTGGGGAGAGGAGTCAATTTTAGAAGAAAGGATATTATCTGCAACATGTGGCATGAGAAAGGGGAAATCTAATTTTCTATGTACAGCTTGTTGCAGAAACATGGCTGGAATGCAAGTAAAATAGAAAGAAGTTATTGATTTATGGGTCATTAGCATGAATTCAATATGAGTAGGGAAACAACTGTAAGTTTTTAAATTAATTCTATAATTGTGAGCCTCGGAGGGAAAAAAGCCATTTGGGAGAATAATATAAATAAAACACATTGTGAATTTGAACTCATTTCTAAATTTACTTACAGACTTACAACTTATTTACATTAACAAAAATGATGGATAAAAGTATAGACAAACCACCTTTATATATTTAAAAATATTACTTATTGAATAATAACTATGAAGAACTTGAAAAAAATGGTAATTCATTTCAGAAAGAAACTTTGAATAGCCAATGCAATTCTGAGAAAAAAAAATCTGGAGGCATCACAGTTCCAGACCTCAGGTTATACTACAAGTTTACAATGATCAAATCAGCATGGTACTGACACATACAGATTTCTAAACCTATGAAATAGAACAGAGAACCTAGAGGTGAAACCAGCCACATATTACCATTTGATCACATAACCCTCATAAGACTAGCCCACATCACAAAGCTGTAAATTCTGGGATGGATGTGAGGAGAAGGGAGCACTCTTAATCCACTGGTAGGATTGCAAACTAACACAGCCCCTATGGAAGAAAGTATGAAGAATTCTCAAAGAGGTAAAAGTAGACCTTCCATTTGATCCCGCAATCCATTACTAGGTATTTACCCAGAAGAGAAAAGTCATTTTACCACAAAGACATTTGCACTAAATGTTCATCACAGTTCAGTTCACAATCATGAAGACATGGCATCAACCCACATGCCCATCAACAAGTGAATGGATTAATAAACCGTGGTACACATGTACCACAGGATACTATTCAGAAATACTATAGAAAGATGGAGACTTTACATCTTTTGTATTTACCTGGATGGAACTGAAGAACATTCTTCTTAGTAAAGTTTCACAAAAATAGAAAAGCAAGTATCCATCATACTCAATACTAATACGAGACCAGTATATAAACAACTACGTGCCCACATGAGAAAAAAAAAATTTAAATTCAAGTTGGTGGTGGGAGAGGCAGGAAAGGCTAGGAGAAAGAGATGTAGAAATATGGGCATCACAGAATTCAAAAATTGGCTTTGCAGACTCCTCATCATTATTCTTCAATAAGTAATATTTTAGGTAAGCTCTCTCCTAATGGGCACAATGGAAGGGTTTGCAGAACAACCCCCTGGGTGAAGGGATCATCTATAACTTGAACTTCGCCTAACAAATGCAAACAGTGAAACCTAATCATTTCTCTCTCTCGTTAGTCTGAAAAAAATAAAAACTCCATGTTCCCAAGTTGATATCCATGATTCTTATTCCATAGATCTGGGAAAGGGCCATGAAATATTTATTGCTTTCTTACTTTTGGCACTTTTAATTATGTTTCATGTTTTTTCTTTTTTTTATTTTTTTATTTTTATTTTTTTTTATTAAATGATAGCTGTATACATTAATGCAAACATGGGGTACAGTGTAGTGTTTTCACATACATTTTGAAATACTTTCATGAAGCTGGTTCACATAAATTTCATGTCATTTGCATAGTCATTGTGTCAAAACATTTATATTCTAGTTCTAGAAAAGTTCACTTGTACCCTTGTTAGACAGAAATATAA